AAAAAAAAAAAAAAAAAAAGGAAGAAAAATAAAAACTGATAAACTAATACTATTTTTTACCGCAAAATTTATACTTAAGAACTCAAGTTTATCAAATAATCAGGGATTATGTTTTTATGTATCATTATTAACGGAACTGAGTCAGTCATGCCAAAGTACTACAAAAATTGATCAATCAGGCCGGGTGAAGTGGCTCACTCCTGTAATCCCAGCACTTTGGGAGGCCAAAGTAGGCGATCCAGAGGCCAGATGTTTGAGACTAGCCTGGCCAACACAGTGAAACCCCGTCTCTACTAAAATACAAAAATTAGCCAGGTGTGGTGGCACACGCCTGTAATCTCGGCTACTTGGGAGGCTGAGGCAGAGAATCGCTTGAACCTGGGAGGTGGAAGCTGCAGTGAGCCGAGATCTTACCACTGAATTCCAGCCTGGGTGACAGAGGGAGACACCATCAAAAAAAAAAAAAAAAAAAATTGATGTATCATTTGCCAATTACTCTTTTTCTCCAGCTAATAAAATAGAAGATAATTCAAATTCTTAATACAGCTAACTCTTCATTAGCCCCTGCATGATCTATCTAAGGCATGTTCCTACGCCTAAATGCTTAACCAAAGATGCATCAATAGCTTGGTAACCTTGACAATACCAATAGAGCCACAGGTTGTAATCCAGTGCTAACACAAATCTAAGCATTTAACAAGGCCAAAAGGAAAAAAATCATGATACAATTAGAACAGAATAAGTGATTTTCGAATCATTCATACCATTTCCCCCTGCCTCTGGTGTATACCCTAGCTATTTTGGATTAAAAGATTAAAGATAATTGAAAGTTCAATCAAGTGACAACCAGTTTACGACAGATCACCAGATTTATATAGAAGTCTCGTTTTCTGCTTTTTTAAAAAAAGAAATGCCAAGCCTTGATCCTGTTTTTCACCTGCAAGGTATTCGCTGGAGAAAGTCCTAAAGAACCTTCGAACCTAAATAACTTTCTCTGGGCTCAGTTTTCTCAAGAAGCTTATTAATGTGGGCTACTAACTCATGTGAACAAGACGGGCAAATTACTATTAAGACTAGGACAAGCACCGGGCCTAATCTTTAAAAGGCATCTTGACTGGAAAAAAAAAATAGAAACCCCGCCCAGCCCTCAAGTTTCTCGGCTTTTCTAGTCCCGTTTTCTTTTACAAAATTCAGAAAAGCAAAACTTCCCCTTCACTGCCTGTCTCTTATCTCAGGCCCAGTACAGAAATTCAGACCGCTAATTAACCAAGTACCTCCTTAAGGTAGTCTTAAGGCTCAAGCCAGCTCAGAAATAGCAGAAAGATTTGCTTTCTTGGGTTAAAGGAGAGCGATTACAGGGTTTGGCGGCCAGGTTTGTCAGGAAGCGTAAGGCCGAGAAAGGGGGAGAATCCAGAGACTGAGCTCCATCTAGTCCCAGGAACCACCCCCAGGGGAGGCTTGACTACCCTCGGTACTTCCCTGCCTCCTCAGCTCGTGTGAGGAGAAAGGCGAGTCTGGGTCAGGCTCCCCTGAGCTACTTCCTGGTCCGATCGGACTCGCCTTCGGACACCCGAAACACCCCCGGCCCGGCTCCCTCGCCCTTTGCCCTGTCTCCTCCCTTCTCAGTGACCCACCACCACTGGTCCCCTCCCATCTAACATGGCCGCCCCGCCCGGCCCACCTCCGGCACAGCCTAACTAGTTGGGGGCCCGCAGCACCGCCTCCCCGGAGCCCATTGGTGCAGTGGCGTCCGTCCGCCCGCTTCATTGGACAGCAGAGCCTGCCACTCAGCTCTGAGGGCTCCGCCCCTGAGCCGCTTCAAGCTGCTTTGAGAAGACATATAAACAAATCCCGGGAGGGAGGCCCCTCTCGCCCGTCGCCTCTGAGGCGGGGACAGAAGGGGGAGCAGCTACCCCCCGAGACACCCCTGCTCTGACCCCCCTAGCTCCAGCCCGCGCCTCCTAGTCTCCTGCCAGCCTGGCTCCAACCTCCGCGGCCCCGGCCCTTCCTCACACGCCCCTCTTTCCCCTCCTCCCCCGCCAGCCTCGCCTCCCCTCCCTTCCCGGGCCCCTCCCACCCGCTCTCTTCTCTGACAGGCCGACTGCCGGCAGCAGCGGCCCGGGGCTCCGAGGCAGCGGGGAAGGGCCGGGCGGCCCGGCAAGACGGACGCCCGGCGCTGCCCGCCCTCGGCCTAGCCTGCTGCCTCCCCGCGAGTCCCATATACCGCCGCCCCGCGCTTTTATGTAACCGTCCCGGGCCGGGAGTGGGGGAGGGGAGTGGAGCCCCCGAGACCTGCAGGCGGTGGCCCGCGACCCGCGCGCCCTCGCACTCGGCCGTGGTCCCAGCCCCCGCCCCGCGCCGGCCCAGCCCAGAGCCTCGGCGCTGCTGCCTCCTAGACAAGCGGCCCTCCGCCCCCTACTCCGCTCGTCCTCTAAGCCCAGGCCCCTGGGGACTCCAGGCAGCGGGAGACGGCGCTCACCTGTGGGTGTGGGGGCGGCTCAGGGACTCGGTCCGGTTCCGCTGCAGGGGCCACGGCCCCTCTCCATGCTGCCTCGGGTTTGTTTTGTTTATGTCCTTCCTGACGGGTTCCCGGAAATCGCGTGACTCGCCCCCCTCACGTGGGCCGCGGCGAGGAGGAGGAGGGAGGCGGGGGCCCGCCGGCTTTGGGCCAATCGCGAGGCGTTCCGCAGCCCGGCCAATCAGGGGCTGAGTCCGGCCGGGCACCCCTGTCACGTGTCGCCGGAGGGGCGGGTCACCAGGAAAAACCAGGAAGAGAGGGCGGAGCGGGGGCTCGGCGCCGGCCTCCGCAGTGTGGGCGTGGGCTGTCTCCGATATCCGGCAGCAGGCCCAGGTTGGGAGAGGATGTTCCTTTTACAAAGGCTTCAAATCCAGCGTTTTATCAAATCTCAAAATGCGCTGTGAGGCCTGAGGTGTTCATTTGCCCATTTTGTAGTTTAAGTTCACTGAAACTTGAAGTGGCTAACTTGATTAGCGGGGGGATTGTATCGATGTCCTGGATAATGGACGGCTCCCCATGTGAACGTCTTAATTAGAGACAAATCTTGCCTTTTGTAGTTCGTTCATTCATTCACCAACTCAATATTTAGCACGTATTCCGAGACACAGACTGCATACACTTTTAAAGTGCACAAATACGACTGTACAAGCAATGTCACTGTTACAGAAACACCTAGACAAACAAGACTCCGTGACACAGCGTCCTTTTAACGAGAACTATATGGTGGGCTTATCATCTGAGTTTTCCCTGCAAGCACATACAGTAGTAATATATCCATTTTTCAGACAGGAAAATTAAGGCTGAGAGGAGTTACTTGCCCGAGGTCAGGCAGCTAGTAAATGAGCTAGCTAGGGCTGACGCCCTTGTCTTTTGTCACAGCCTATTCTTCCAGATGCTTTTTATACATCTTAAAGGCACGGAATGATCTGAACACACAACCGAAATTTGATTTTTTAAGTACAGGGAAAGGAAGATTGGGGAATAAAGACACCTGCCCAGGGTGCCAGTGTTCTATTAGGAGGAATCGCCTTTGAAAATGTACTCCCTTTTACACAGATTTAGAGAAATAGTCTAGTGTCATTGCCAAAACCATGGACTTTGGAATCAAAAAGCCACAGATCCTAATCATCAGGAAAGCAGGGACTGGCAGTGTTTATCCTCTACCTTTCATGCCTGGTACATAGGCAGTCACTATATACTGGTTGAATGAATAGCCTGGATTTGAATCCTTGTTCACCACGTGTAAAGCAGCACAAATTAACCTCTGTAAAGCTCAATTTCCTCCTCTGTAAGTACCTTTTGGGAATGATGTGAGAACTAAGTGAAATAATTCATATAAAGCACTTATCATAGTGCCTGGCATATACTAGGCACTTAATGAATAGTTTAATTATTAAGTGTTTAAGAATTAACTATTCATGGCTGGGCGTGGCGGCTCACGCCTGTAATCCAAGCACTTTGGAGGCCTAGGCAGGCGGATCACCTGAGGTCGGGAGTTCAAGACCAGCCTGACCAACATGGTGAAGCCCCGTCTTTATAAAAAAAAAAAAAGAATTAACTATTCAGTTAATGAATAATTATTAAATTGCATCATTTGGAAGATGTACTGTGGACTAAATGGCAAGTACAGATAACTTTAGCAAGTACAGAGACTTTAGCAGGTTAACAGTCACTAAAACAATACTTTTGTACACAAAATTAATAGATAGCTATATGTAGATACCTAAGAGGAAAGTAAAGGCGTAAATCTCTCCTCTGTAGCCTCCACAATACCAACTACATAGTAGGGCCTCAATGCCCAGTGAAGGAATGAGTATTTCCCCTACTGCACAGTGAGTACCAGGATTATAATTTTTTTTAATCTAACACATACCACATTCTAATTTTCCACATCAACTAGAATTTAAAATTGAAACAGAGAAAAACTAGCTTGGGAAGTTTGAGCCAAGTTCCCTGACTTGTTCCCATGAGATTCATGCATTAAATCTCCCCAGAATACATCACAGACCATCCTCTCTTGTAATATGATATTTGAAAAAGCTCCAGCAGATGACCAGCCCTTCCATTGTTACACTGCTGTCTGGACACAGACATGTTCATCTCTACTGGGCAGTTCCCTGGGGTCAGGGGGCAGCCAGGTTTACCTCCTAGCATGAGGCTCTGCCCTCTGAAGGTGTTTACTAGTGAATTACATTGGATCCCCACCTTTCCCTCTTCCGTTGTCTTGGAAAGGATGAGGTTTTGGCAAAAGGAGACCTTTCCGTCAAGGTTTGTTAATGACTATATCTTGCTCCGAAGTGAATGAAATCACTGGCTCTGAATTGATTTGTGTTTCTCTGGGTTTTATCCTGCCAGATTCTGTCACAAAGTTGGCAGGAAGTTGGAACTCTCTAATAGCATTGGCTTCTTGTTCTAGCCACAAAGTAGTAACCAACTGGCATCGCCACTTCCAAAGTGTTTAACCTAGCTCCTGTGGAATAATTTACATACTGAGATAGCATGAGTCAGAAAAACATGCTTTATACAAATATGATGCGGGGAAACAAAGCAATGGATAGTTAGAACCCCATTTAATTCTTAAAAATTTTTTTAAATTTTCAATTAGGTAACATATATGCATGGTACAAAATTCAAAAGATACAAAAAAGTATTCAGTGAAAATTAAATCTCTGTCCTGTTCCTGTTTCTTGGCTACTCATTTTTCCTTCTCAGAAACTCATTTTTCCTTTCCCACAGCTACCCCCATTCTGTGTCTTCTTCCAGATATGTCCTTTGTATGTGCCAGCATTTTACCTACGTCAAACCTTCATGTGTTTGCAACACTGTTTTTGGAGCCAAGACCCCAATTTGAGCTCTACCGCTAACTGTAAGATCCAGGGTGACCTCTGAGTTCCAGTTTCTTCACCACAAGAGATCAGGACTAAAACTGGGTGTTCTATATGATCCTCTTAACGTCAACACTGAGCCCACATCCTGAAAGAATTAAAATGGTTGGCATAGGTCCTAACTTTCCATATGATCTATAGGTCATAAATTTGCACTACGTGTAAATCTTCAGTATAGTAGATTTGAGCTATGCCTGTTGCTCACATAGACATCTTTTAAGAGAGTATTATCATTTCAAGTCCAAATGTTTTATTTCCAGACCCCTCTAGGCTTGTGTGATTTGTTAAATAAGACTTCACATCTTTAGACGTGAGATTAATTAACTCAAAGCTGGAAGAGCTCCAGGAAAAGCTGTGTCCTTCTGACACTGAAAACTGATTTTCTTTCTGAGAAGACTGGAGTTTTGCGGAGTGAATTGAAAACAGATACTAATTGATGGTTGGCAATGGGGCTCCATCCTTCATTCATCTTATCAAAAAAAATATTATTTGGGACTGGACATGGTGGCTCACGCCTACAATCCCAGCACTTTGGGAGGCTGAGGTGGGCGGATCACTTGAGGTCAAGAGTTCGAGACCAGCCTGACCAGCATGGTGAAACCCCATTTCTACTAAAAATACAAAAATTAGCTGAGCGTGGTGACAGGTGCCTGTAATCCCAGCTACTCGGAAGGCTGAGGCAGAAGAATCGCTTGAACCTGGGAGGCAGAAGTTACAGTGAGCCGAGATCGCACCATTGCACTCCACCCTGGGCAACAAGAGCGAAACTCCGTCTCAAAGAAAAAAACATTGGCGGGGGAGGGGGCTGGTCCAAAGATATTGAGTTATCTCAATTGTTCACAGTCAGTTACAGATGGAACTCCTTGTTCTGCTCCCTTCCCTCACTACTGCCCTTGACTAATCTTAAAAAAAAAGAAATAAAATCAAATAATTATTTGGGGGAAAAAGAAGGGTCAGTTCTTCCCACTGCATGATCTCTCAAGAGGACTCAATGTTCTTCATGTGACAGCTCTGAGCCTCGATTTCTTACTTCCACAGAAAGCACTAGAACTGGTCCCAAATATCCTTCTCTAGTCTCTCATTTGTTTATCTTGATTCCTCACCCCACCCCATTTCACATCCCCAGCACCAGTCCTGCCATGGCATAGTAGCCTGTTTGTGGTCTGAAAGGACAGATTAATATCTAAATTCTGTTCATCCTCCATGGCTCAAGATCTCACTTCTTTCATAGAATCTATTTCTACTATGTCTATTTCTGCCCTCATTAATCTCCTTTTCTCTACCACCGAACTAAGTACTTAATGTACTTACTGCTTTGTATTATTCATATCTTGTGTGTTGATATTACTTCTTCAATAAAAAGTGGGCATAAACACAAATCCTCGAGTGATGAAGAAAGAATGCAAAGCACTTCATTAGATAACCATCTTCCAGCCTATGTTTAGTGATGGGCAGTGGTTAGGAAAGGGAGAGAAACAACTGTAACCTCTGTGGAGTGCCTAATGTGTGCACTGAAGACACAGTCCTTCCCCTGGAAGAATTCAGAACCTAGTAGAGAAGACTGACCTGGAAAGCCCACAGTTCAACAGTAGAGTTTATCAGAAGGGAGGCCTTAGAAGTTTGTGAAGAGCAGGATGCATATGCATTTCGGTGCCGCTTTTTTGCTAGAGAAACTTATTTGGGTAAGTAACTAACCTGTTTGTTCCTTAATTCTGTGATAACGTGCCTCACAGGTTGATTCTGAGGATTAAATTCAGGACCTGATGCATACTAGATACCTCCCAGCTAGGCATGGTGGCTTACACCTATAATCACAGCATTTTGGGAGGCTGAGGCAGGAGGATTACTTGACCCAGGAGTTCAAGACCAGCCTGAGCAACATGGTGAAACCCTGTCTCTTTAAAATAAAATTTAGTGGCTCATGCCTGTAATCCCAGCACTTTGGGAGGCAGAATCGAGTAGATCACGATGTCAGGAGTTCGAGACCAGCCTGGCCAGCGTGGTGAAACCCTGTCTATACCAAAAATGCAAACATTTAGCCGGGTGTAGTGGCGGGTGCCTGTAATCCCAGTTACTTGGGAGGCTGAGGCAGGAAAATCACTTGAACCTGGGAGGCGGAGATTGCAGTGAGCTGAGACTGGACCACTGTACTCCAGCGTGGGCAACAGAGCAAGACTCTGTCTCAAATAAATAAATAAATAAATAACATTTAAAAATA